TGTAGTGAACTGACATATCCTTCAAATTTTAGTGAACATCCATTTTAATCTTTTTAGTGAATTAATCTTATTATTGTGTTGAATACTTAAATTTTAAGTTTATATTTTGTATGTGTGATGCTTATAAAAAAAAAAAAAAGTATCTGAGATCTTTAGAACCATATTCTTGTTGTATCCAGGTAACCATATTCTTGTAATGACACCAAGATTCATTACATGAAGATTCATTAATGATGAGTTTGAAAATTTATTAATATGGAAAGATCTCAGAATAGGAATTATCAAAAAAAAAAAAAGAGAGCACAGAATAGGAATTATCAAAAAAAAGGAGCTCAGAATAGGATAAACTCTACAATTCCCTCCAAGTCCTATTTTTTTCCATGTGAATCTCCTTCAAATTAGTTCACTTATACCAATAAAAAAATTGCTATCTTCTTAGTGTAAAGTGTTAGGCAGTGTATGCCCTTACCTCCAATCAGAATGATGTACATTATGACATTTAATGTAAATGAATAAAGTACATATTTGTTTGATTCATGTTGTTATGGTGTGTTTCTATGTAATACCCTTAACTGGACACATATGAGACTCGTATTAGTTTAGAATCTTCACAACCGTGGGATAGATTTGGGGAGATTTATCCTGCCAAGACTAACACTGATGTGCTACCAAGTTGATTGGGGTGGCTTGTCTCAGCTGCCAGGGTGAGGCATGAGGTACATGTAGTTTGGGTTTTCTTGAAACCCTGAACTGGACTAGAATTCCAGTATTGCCCTAGACCTTGGAGATAGATGGATAAAACTAGAATGTTACACCTAACCCCTAGACTCGATTATGATACTGCATGCCGGATTGGGGTGTCTTTGATATGCCAATCAGTGAGATCCTTAGAGGGGGTCAAAACCTGGGTATGTTGGGACAGTCTGAGAATTCATCTGAGTGGGTGATCATAGTGACAGGATCAGCCCCTCTGTCGGACAAAGTGAATGATCAGGGATGCACTCTCTCAGACGGAAACCAAAGCTACTGGCAGCCGATTTCAACCGTTGAAATTTGTTTTGCAAAATATATTTATATAGAGATATACATACATACATATATATATATTATGGTTTCAAAATGTTTGCAAAATGTTTTAATTCCCGAGATCCATGTAAGTAGAGAATGCATCACTGTACCTTGCAGCCGAGAGAGAGGTCATCTCTTGTCGAGCGGTGTTTGATCATTATGGGCTGAGAGGTTAAGTGTAAGACCATTGAGCGTAATACCTGATGAGTTAATCTTGCATCTGCCCACAGTCCTTGAGTTTTTATAAGGTGACTTGACCCAGCGACAATTTAGTATAAATGTTGGGCCCATTAAGAGCCCATAGTGATGGACTCAGGGGTTCACTGTCTCCTACAGTGAATTCGGCCAAGCCTTGTAATAGAGGCTAGGCTGAACCCATGTGGCTGATGTGTAGATCAATGTTTGGGTCCCACGCAATACAAGGACATCCAACTGGGCATCAGTTTGGAGGATAAGTGAGCACATAGACTTAATGGGCCTAAAGCCCAATTCGAACTGACTTAATTAGATTGATTAAAGATGGGCGGTTCTAGGATTTAAATCAGCAGATAGGATAAGGGATTGTTCATATCCACTCAGAGAGTCCAGATCTAAATAAAGATTTGGATCAGGAAACTCCTAATTAGATTAAGATGGTTGATCTTATCTATAGATAAGATAATGGATTATTCTTATCTCTTTAAAGAGAGTCCATATCCAAATACAAGATTTGGATTAGGAAACTCCTAATGGGATTAGGAGATGCTCTCTTTAAAGGCTATAGATAGAGGAGCTGGGAGAACCTAAAACACATAATTCAGTTCAGAGGTTACATAGAGAGAAGAACCTGCAGTTCGACTGCTCCAGTTTTCTGCTCTCTCTCTCTTGTTCCTGCTGCCATACTAGTCCGATCTCCACTCTGGGAGCGATCAAGAAAGGGTTCTTGATATCACCCTTTTGTAGAAAAGGTGATCTGAAGTCGTGCTCACTCGCCCTTCATCAGATTCTTGCTGAAGAATCAGGTTCTTGCTGAAGAGCCATTCTGCTGATTCTACTTCATCCTACACTATGTCATCTTTGGTGGAAGCAGTCTTTGGATCTATCCTTGGGTGTGAACACCTTCATTGGAGGTTATTGTTACTTCGTATCAGGTATAACCCTCCACTCTCTTTTGGTTTCAAATTTGGACCGCTTTAGGTTCAAGATTGATCATTGAAAATGCAGTTTTCTAAAACAGGGAATGTGATTCCCACATGGGAGAGAGAGAAATTTTTGAAATTTCGCCCAACCTACCTGCAGGGTTCGGCCATCCATATGGTGGATCTCTCATCCCTTCATATAGAAAAACCCCAAAGATAACTAGAGTGAATAGAAAATTATTTTTTACCTAATATGGCAATTAAGAAATAAAAAAAAAAAGAAAAGAAAAAAGACATGACAGTTGGCACCTGTCCTGCTGATAACTCTCATGTATGTGAATTGATAAACATTTATATTATAAGAAATTCTTTTTATTTCTATTCTGTAACTTTATCCGATTATCATAATTTTGTTGAGAGGTTTGTCTTTCTATTAATTAATTGATAACCTTAGTACATGCATCTCTGCTTTGTATGCAGTTCTGGAAGCCTGCCTGCTAGTACGAAAGAAACCACCAAAACTAGCAGCTGTTATGACCAAGGTAGGACTCCAACATCCACAGTTCTAAAATATATTTGGGAAATGACAATTTTCTTTGTTAGCTGATAATTTTACATATATGCAAGGCAAAACCACAAAATGCTGCTAGTTTTCCGAGGAACTGCTAGGATGTAGCTGTCTTTAAAATTTGTGACATTACACTCAAAACTTCAAACCAAAGTAACTTCTCACCAAGCTATTAATTAAGAATGAAAGTTAATAAAAAATAGTCCTTATTTTTTGAATTCTACCATTGTATACCCACAGGAAAAAGATGTAGAACTTTATTTTGTTACTAAAATAATAGTTTTTAGAAAAAAGGCATTCGTTGTATATATTAGATATTCATTTCTGTCAAAGAACCACGTAAATGGATCAATCTTTGTGTTCAAGAATTTTCTTTGTTACATTGCTACTTTATGTTCAAGAATGATGATTTTGGATCAATCTTTGTTGTTCCATATAAAAACTTTAGCCTCACTCAATTTGGTCATTTTCTGAGGGAAAAGTTTCAGTGTTTTCCCCATGTGGAAATATCTAATTTTGGTGCAGGTGATACAAAGGTCACATTCTCTAAACAAGACCATGAGCAGCTGGCTCCTATTGTTGTAAGTTAGCCTCAAACATAGTAAATATTCTTTTCAAGTTTATTTTAATTTCTTCTAACAGTTTCCACAAATTCCATATGCTCGTTTTTCACTTAATAGGAGACAGATGAACAAACCAGAAGCCAATTGCAGGTAAGTACGTTATATTGAAACTTGCTATTTCTTTCTTTGTCCCAGGGGTTCATTTGTTAATCTACCGTTACTTATGAGCAGAGAATCAGCTGTCATGCCTGGAAAAGATGGATTTGGAAGGCATGCTGGACAATTATTGTGATCTTCACAGCTGCTACCATTCTTCTCATCCTGGTTATTGTCTGTTCAGTTATTTAACCTGTTATAGATCAAACATTAATGTTACTATTATTTATTTTTTGTGGATCTTTATGCATTTAAGTAGGATTTGCATTATTCTTTTGGGGAATAAAATATAAATGAAAAGAGGAAATTGTCAAATTTAGTCACTTCCTACACTTGTAAAGAAAAAAAAAATAGTCACTTCCTATATTCTTTGCAATTGTGGACAGATGGAACCTTACTGTGAGGAACCTGGGTACTATCCTTTATCAAATTCTCAATGGAAACTACATATTGTGAAAGTGTTTTGCTGGAAATGGCTCTATTATCTTGAAACCATTTTAATGCACTGGGCACATTTATGGTATATCATTGACTGTTGAAATATTTACCTTTGAGCTTCCATAAATTGTATTCTATAAATGACCGATGCCTATTTGTTTGAAAGGCTTTTTTGTTTGGATTAACTGTCCAAGTTAAGATTCATTATAAGATCGTATAGTGATTAGGCCTATTTAGTGAACAACTAAGAGGAATCGACTTTTATCTAGTTAAAATGTATTTTTGGATTGCAAGTCCAGATAAGGAGTAAATATAAAGTGGACGGTTTGGAGGAACCAAATACAATGAAAATCCAATTTTCTATGCGATAAAGAACCAGTTTCTTGCATCTCAATCTTGAGAACTGCCTGGGGGTATTAAGTGAATAATTGTCCCTTGACCAAGCTTTACTTTAATAAACCATTAATAGTAGTATAAATCACATGATAATATGATATTCTTCATTCAGTGGGGAAACTGCAATTGAATCTTCTTTCTTTTGAGCTTCTGAAAAGCAATCTCCAACCAGTCACTACTAGTTAAAACAAAAGCAAGAAGCTAGTTTCCATTTATAAGATTATTACCATCAAAAGAAGTAAGATTGAAATATGCTTCTGAGGCTATATTTCAGTCCCCTGGCGCTCATGGCTTGGTAAGAAAAACATCTCGTTATATGGAACCCAAGCTGCAACAGCCTTCATACATGGAAGTAGCATTAGCACGGCACATACACTTACACAGATTTGAGAGTCATCAGACCGACCCCATTTGAATGAGATCAAAGAACTTTACTTGACACACAGAAGTGGGCCAAAAAGGTAAAAAATAAAAAAAGAACTTAGGAGTGGGTGGGTTTCAAATGATAGAATGCTAAAGAAGTTATATTGCCTTGAGACATAAGGAATGTTTGTGAGGAAGAACACAAGAGTTGGGAAATGTCAAAGTGACTCAAGTAAGACGTAGGAGTAGCCACTTCTCCTACAAGAAAAAAAGGTGTGACAAAGATCCAACACCAAAAGAAAAAACGTTTTATGCATGATTAGCCTGCAAAATAATGAAAGCAGTGATGTAGACTTCACCCCTGTCCAAGCAAGCCAACAGTACAGTTCTCTCTTAAATTCTCTTTATTTCCTTCCATAAACATGTACTGCACTGCACCCACTTCTCCACATGGGGTGGCTGCAATCCCTCATCTCCCCGTTGAAGAAGCTATGGGATCGTCTACACTCAGCTCACAAAAAGAGTATTACTATTTTCCTTGTTGACACCCGCTCACTCATTTTTTTTTCTATATATGCTCATTATTGCATTGTAGTTTTACTGTTATATCTTTTTCCTGTTTGTGAATTCTGTAGTGGCCTGAAACACATCAGTCTAATGAATCAGTATTACCTTCTCTTTCTTCCTCATTTTTTTTTTCATTTTCATTTTCTCTTTTCTATTCATGGTTTTGATCAAGGGCTTCATACCCAATGAGGAGTAACACCGAAAAATTCAGGGTGTGAGACCTGAATCATCTTGAGAACCATGTAGCATCATCATATAGTACAGAGCTCTAAAGTCTAAATCAATGCGAGGCAGACAACTTGGTCCTTGGAAGTAAATCATGTGACCCCTGAGTCTTCACTGTTACTTCATTGGATTAGCATTTCTAGGGGAAAGCAAGTCTTGAGTCATCACCATATACACGATTGTACACTCATTCATTTTGTCATGCCATTTTTCCTGTTTCTCTTTTTTCATCATTGCTTGGAAGCAGTCTCTCTGTGTATCTACAGGTCTGCAACTGCAAGGCTGCCTACATCTCTGTCCCGTGCTCTTGGCTGCCCTTTTTTGTTCACTAATAGGCTACCAGCAATGAAATGATTCCATGTTTCCTTTCAACATTTTTCTCTCTCTCTTTCTTTTTTTTTTTGTAAAAGGTAATGCAAACTTTATTCAAATCAAAACTCAAATACAGACTGAAATCAGACCCAAGAAGGCAGTCTGAAAACATTTTTCTCTCTTTTTGTTCTTGTATTTCAATCAAAAAGTACAAGAAATTGAACTTATTTCCACTTTTCTACGAACAACCCAGATAAGGGTGTCTGTGTGTTCTCTATTTTGCATATTGTGTGTATGTGTGTCTCTGTATTCTCTGTCTCTACGGTTTCCTATTAATAAATGCATTTTTATTTTTTCTGTCTATCAGGAAGAGGGATATACATCCTCTACGAGGACGTCAAATCATGCCCTTGTGAAGATGTACACATCCTTTGGTCGATCGTCGTCAAATCACATAAACCTTTGCCATCCAAACCACGAGGGCTCTTGATAGGTCCTTCCAAAAACTAAGGGGTGTGTATGTGTTGTGTTCTGTACAGTCGTCAAAAAATGTATGGTGTGTTCTAAGTTATTGGAGGCTCTGAATCCTCTACCAGTGAAGAGAGAATGTTCTGCTGGTCCAATATGGTGTGGTGTGTTCATGTCTTTCTGGTATTAGTGGTTATTTCTTTACCCACTGACTATGATATCATCATTAAGGCAGTAGAGGTTCTCTTCACTGGCCAATAGAGGATTTGGAGCAGTTTCAGGTGTTCGAAATAATAGGTTTTGGAACTCACGACACTTTTTGGTAATGTTTATTTTGGTGGTGTAGTGTGTTTTACAGTGATGGGTTTTGAAATATCAATGTTTTTATCAGACTATACTAAATTAATATTTATTGGGTGTCCCAAGATATAAATATATTGATCGTGTTATGAAATACAAGATTTTGGTGTTTCAAAATTTGTAATATTTTGTGCTTTAGAACCAAATTGAGCTAATTTCTAGACACCCCATAGCTTAAAACTTAGCATATTTCCAAACTAAACGAAATGGGTCTCAACCACCTCTCTTTTTTTATTTTTTTTTCTACTCTTGGAAGTTATTGGTACCTTGTCAGATTAGGCAGGCAGTTGAGATGGTTGTTATGGTTTTTTCTTTGAGGTGCAGGTCGACTGCCTTGATGTTAAGTTGCAGGTATTATTAAATAGTATAATCGAATCGTTCATCAAAGAAATAACATAAAATGAAATAAAAATTATATCATGAAATTGATAGAATACCCACCTTGATTTACATGTCTTCAAACAACTCTTGAACAAATATGAACTTTTAAGCAACCTCAATCGGTTTGTCTAATCTTCCTTTTCATGAGGAATTGAGGATTGCTTTGTGGACTTTTTATATTTTCCTCTTTTCCTTTTTCTCCATTACACCCTCTTACCCTGCACAATTTTTGTCTTAATTGTAATAAACGAAAGAAGTGAAATTCCTAGAAGTGACCAACGGAATTTTTGGTTTGGTTTGACTTTCAGTAATAAAATCAGTCCCTCAGCATAAATCAATCAGATTATCAAAGATCAAACCATATCAAAAGTTGTTTAAGCATCACTTAGTGACCCTTCACCCACTAATTAACCCGATGAGTCATCAGGCTGAAATCGGGCCGGATTCAGATTCAATATATATTGTAAAAAATTAATTACCTTTAATTGATAAATAAATAAAATATATTAGTTCAATATATATTATAAAATAATCACACTAGGATTTTAATAAGATCGGATATAGTTTAGTCTGCACCCGATCCGATTATTAATCGGGTGCAGATGTGGATTGTAAAGTCTGATCTGATCCAATCGTATATCCTCCTGATTTGAAGTAACTGGATCGGATGTTTCAAACTTTAGTAGCCCATTGACAGCCCTACCCATCGTTTATGCTTGGGAAATCACAAAGGTACATGTAATCTTATTTGAGTTTAAAGCGCTTAGCATCGTTCCAATCACATAATCAGAAACAACCCGTTTTTGCTTCTGATTGGTTTGACGGGTTCATAATCCTGCAATGTTTTCCAAAACAGCAGTAACAAATAGAAAATCTGCTGCCAGAGCTGATTCAATCAAAGAGCTTGTACCTGCATTCTAGCACTAGGTGGTTGCTCCAGGACTTGTACCTGCATTCTACGAAGGAGAAATCTATGCTGTGGAAGTGCTATGAGCAATCAAAACCTTCGTGAATTTTGATAAAAACACCTGATCCGCTATTTTGATATCAGTTGATTGGTTACAAATTTTTTCGGGTATCATAGTTAAATCCTAAAGTTATTTATTTATTTATTTTTTCATTGCAAAGCTCTAAACCAGTTTTTTCAACCCACCATTGATCTGACCAGTTGAACCATTCAAACTGTCATCTGGTCATAACTTTGGGTCTAGTTCTACTAAAACACAGGAATTGGTTAAAAACCATTGGCCTGGTCAAAAAATGTCCAACCCAGGTGGTTGGACTGTTGATCCATTCAACCCGATGACTGAGCCACAGGTTGCATACTAGATGTGTATGCAAACTTTTAGAGGCCATAACCTTACACTTTGATATCCGATTGGAGTCATCATTTTTTTTTATAACCTTACAACACCTATGCGTCCCAAGACACCATAGGCACCTTGCCGCACTATTTTCACCATTAAAAACCCTTTTCAGCCTCAAATCACAATTTTTAGCATTTTTTACAAATAAAAAATAGAAAAATTGAATTAAAAATAAAAGTTAAATATAAAATAATGCATATATTACATGTAGAATATAAGTATTCATTACTTCTTTATAAAACACACACACATATAATTCCCATGACCCACAGGCAAAAACAGTCTGGGCTCCGGGTCAGTTTCAAAGCATTGCCCTAAACTAATTGATCTCAAAGCAATTCCTTCAAGGCTCATTAGAATACAACCATAGTTATCAACGTCTCTTCATTTTATTTTGAAGCTCTTATGACCAGTTTATGGTTTTGAAATGACTGCAGAAACAATTCCAAAATCCAGTGATTGTGTATTGCCTCTACGAAAGGATGAATTAAGTACTAGGCAAGGTTCAAAGTAACCATGTCTAGCTAAATTTAAAGTATAAATACATACATAAGAAATGCACACTTTAATTATTTATATGAATAGATGCATCACAATCATTAATATCAAGAATCTATAACATATAGATATTTATCTACTAAAAATTCACTAGACACATCTAATTGTTGTTGGATACTTGGATCAATGAGTTTGATATATCATTGGTAAATCCATCTTGTAGTTCTTCCAACCATGGAAATCATTTAAAATATATAAAATATTTTTTTAGAACTTTTCTAAAAAAATAAGAATTTATTTATGATATAAATGATTGCTAGAACAATTGAGTTTAATAGATCATTAATAGATCCATCATATAGTTATTTTCTACAATACAATAAAAATCATTTAAAACACATAAATTTATAATTCTGGAAAACTCCATAGATATAACAAGTCTGAATCACCAGTGTCTATGCTTAACGGTTCAAGCTGTTTGGACAGACTAGGAAAAACTGTTAAAATAGACATTTTTTTACCTACGGTCTTGAACTTTTTGCGGCAATCATGACCGCAGCTAAAACTTGCCCAGCCATTTGGATACCGATACCATATGGCATACCGTGTTAAGTGGCAAAAGCAGAATTCACATTTTTAAAGCTTCTAATCCTAGCAAGTTCTCACGAACCAGAGCAGAAGTTGGTTATTTGACAAATGACAACGGAAGAAACCATATGGAATCACAGAACCCATATTATAATATGGGCCCTCTAATCTTAAGTCTTAACTCACAACCTGCCATAAAATTCAGATGAATAGAATCAATGATTAAAAGGTCCCATACAGGGATTAACCAGGTGAAGATCAAGGTCAGTCCAGTGCCCGAGGCTCCTGCCAATGCAGGATCCGGATAAGGACAGAAGCACACAGCTTTACCCTTGCAGATACACAGAGAAGCTGTTTCCAAGATGTGAACCCTGATCACCTAGGTCGCAATGGAGCAACCGACTGTTGCGCCAAAGTCCACCCTCAACTTCAAACATCATGCATTTAGATACTGAAAAACAAATAAATTGCGAAAGCTCTAGTGCATAATCTAATCATGCGGAGTATCACTAGTCACTCCCTTAGGTGGAAGTCATCTTATGCTGGCTCTGATCATATGAATATGAAAATACCAAAAGTAGATGTTTGGGGCACCAGACTGCAACCACAGATCCTGCTCCTGTGACCAAGACACTTGATAATATGGAAAATAAATATTTCAAATATCACCCAAGACAAGTATCAGACTATCAGTATTATAATAGTAAAGATAATTTGCAAAAAGTAGCCCAATTTGACAATCAATATGCAATCTATAAGAGTCTCTTCAATATTTTTAACAGAAAGTGAATGTTGCAAAATTTGACCCTGGAAATCAGAAGGCAACGGAATAACAACCAGAGCACAATTTCAATAAATGAAGACTGGCAAGGCCATTTCAGGAACTGCCCTAACTTTGTTCACGGCTGAGGCCATTTCAGGTAATAAATTCTCCAGGCTATGGCACTCCATGCACACCATTCCTATGATTCAAAATAAACATTCAAACAAATAAATAATCAAGACATAAAGAAATGCAATAAATGCATGCACATTTCAATATATTCACATATAGTTTTAGTAATGCCATACAGTATAAAATGCAATAGGGCATCATATCAAGAAGAGAAAGACCAAAAAGAATGGCGGAATTTCAGTAATGGGTCTAGACATAATTTGTGAAAAGATAAATCAAATAACTATAAACAAGGAACTTGCTCTCATTTGGCATAGAGAACCTACAAAATCTATATCTGAAAATATGCTATGACATTAGACAACAGAGCAGGCATGTAATGCACACATTTTGCATGCAAAGGAGTCGTGGCCATGTTCAGGACATGGCACGCATTAGAAATAGGCATAATATAACAGGTAAAAGTAGGTACTTGCTACAAACCAGACAAGTACCAGAATAAACAACTAGATACTTTGTCCTTTCTCCAGTATCAGAAAATAGTTATTGGCTGGGTGTCCTTTCTTCAAGTTAGCATTTATAATGCTTTGGACTCAGGCATTCACCCAGGAACCCTTTAAATTTTGACAAAAGGCCAACCTGAGCCCAACCAAGTTGCACTCCTAACTATTATATAGGCAACCTGTAACGAAAGTAACCAAGCATAATATCCTGTTTCATGGGCACAAACAAGTCCCTCAATATAATCAACACCAACAGTCTGCCATTTTCCTCCCTGACATAAGGAAACCATATCTAAGACATATCTCTTATTTGGTTTGTTTATTTCCTTAATAGAAGGTTTAGAACACTTGCACTAATTTTTTAGAAGGCTTCCTAATTCTCATTCATCAAAAGTAGCTGCAATAACCTAGACAACAACACCACAACCCGACAAGAAAAGGGGATAAGTGTTTTTCAAAGGAAGAATTTTATTGGATACAGGTAAAAACATTTTCTCTTTCCTTTATGAAATGGGAGAGGGAAATTTTTTATTTGGCTGCCCCATGTGGTCACCTACACTAACCACACTGTGTCTCGGCATGCCACATGCTGTCCCCCTACTAACCATAATGGAGAGATAGAGCTGATTTAGTGTATATTATTTAATTTTTGGAAAATATATTTCAAATAAAATAAATCATTTAAAATTTTCAGACCCTAACCATTCAAACATCTTCCTGTCACTATTTTCTCCCCCTCTTTTTCTGTTTCATTCATCTTCATCCTGAAGTAGCCATCCCCCCTCTCCCCAATTAGATCCCTGTGAGTTTTTGATGACCCAATACTTGGTCTCTTTTAATTCCCCATACCCTACAATTGCAACCCTAAGATCTAGAGCCATTCTCCAAGCCCTTGAGATGTGCACAATCAGCAAAACCAGATGACCAGCTGTGTTTTGATCAATTATGGAGTTCTATCAGAAGATCACACAGGCAGTAAATGATATGGAAACCATTCAAAGACAAGTAGTGAATTGGCACAAATTCCCAATCACAATAAGAAAGAATAATTAATAAACAAGCTGGAAAATTCCATCTCACATTAAATAACACACAACTCAACAAAGAGAAGATTGATATTTATACAAATCTGTTGCAGAAATCCCAGAAAGATATTATCTAAATTTTAAAAGCAAAGTTGGAAAGAACCCAAAACCTTCTTCAAAAAGAAAAGGAATTTTCAACCTAAACAAGAATAGACATTGAACTTGCCTCTGACAACAGTGAAAACAAGAAACCAAGTTCTGGCACCTTTAGCAATACAATAAAATGGGCAAGCAGATTAAGAATGAAGCTGGAACTTGGTTTTTGGACTTAGAAAAAACCTTAGAGACAGATCTAAGAAACCAAGAGGTGAGCAGAACAATGTGTTTCTTCTCTTCACTCGGCTGCAGTGGTGAAGATAGCATAACCAGGAGATAATGGTAGCCCTTCACAGAACAGTGGCAACTGGTGGGAGAGAGAATACTGAGCAAGAAAATAATAAGGGAAGATTGATTTGTAAATTTTTCTTATTTTAAATATATGTAAGAAAGGAGCCCAATGTGAAAAACAGAAAAAAGGGTCAGGAGAAAAAGAAATTGGCAATAGTTATAATGAGAACGAGAACCATTGAACATACATAATCATAGCACTAAGCCTCTAACACTTAATAGTGAATCAGAAATCACAACATTTACACCTCAGGAGGGAGGGGGGATTCCAAATTGCCGACCACACTGGCAGCAAAGATTTTCCCACTTGCACAAGAAAAAGCAGTCCAAAGTGAAAAACAGCAAAAGGGTCAGGAGCAAAAGAAATTGGGAACAGTGATAATGAACATGAAAACCATTAAGCATACATAATCATAGCTCTAACACTTAATAGTGTGACTGAAATCACAACATTTACACTTCAGCGGTGGACAAATGTATATTGCAGCAGTATGACAACCATTGAACATATATAAAATAGCTCTCACACTCAATAGTGAGGCAGAGGTCACAACATTTAAACTTGAAGAGGGGGATATGTCTAAATAGCAGGAACCTGAGATGGAAAATAAGTTCAGCCACAAATTAAAGATTCTCATGCAAAGCCACTATCTTCCCCAAGACTTGTAACCATGGCTCCAAGAGTATAAATACAATCTTATTGCCAGAAAAAGACTAATTGCAATATAACTTGAGTAACAGAGCCCTACATAATGAGATTGGAAGTCACAATGTTTAGAAAGGGATGAGTGCACGAGGCTTCCACCAATTTACAGTTTGGGGAGCCAGGGAGGGACAGATGTACGCAGCCTTAACCCCTGCACATACAGAGAGGCTATTTCCAAGATTTGAACCCTGGTCACCCAGGTCACAATGGAGCAACTCAACTGTTGTGCCTAGGCCCACCCTTTTTAGAAAGGGATGAGTATCAAATGTAAATAACTGAGATGGAATTATCAGGAAATTTGGAGTCAGAAGCAAAGTTCATCCATTAGTTCAAGGCCTCTCACACAATAACAATGTCTTTCCTAACCACCAAGTAAACATTGCATAGATATAGTACTCGAAACGGAATAGGAATTGCAATTCTGTAGGACTTCAATTAGGGGTGATCATAGGCCGGGCTTTGCACCTGTGATGAGAGCTATAACCTGGACCCGGGCACAGCCCAGCCGAGGTTCCAGACCTGAAACATAAGCCCCGACCTGGGCCTACATAGACCCAGGCCAGGCGGGCCTGATCCACACCTATGACTTTATGTATAAAATATTAAATATAATGTCATATAATATAATATTATTTATCACACTTTTTTACATCATTACTGAGGTATAAAGCATTGCTAAGGAATAGGAAGGGCTCTCATTACCCCAAATCACAAAAACACACCAATGAAAAACTAAAAACAAAAAGTAAATAGAGGTGTTCCTTTAAAAGAGAAAGAAGTAGATAATCTACATCGTATTATTTCATCATCTTAAGGAGCAAATTAATGGCAAGACTCATAATAAGAAGACTTCAGCAATATTTACCTACTAGTACCATATCAACAGGAAAAAACAGAAAAGAAACAAAGCAAATACAATAATCAATAAAATAAAGATCACAACTCTGCAGAACATGACAGTGCATACTAAAAAAAGCATCTCTGTTTTTTTGGTCGGTGGGAGACAGTATATCTACTCCAACCATTGGCAACTATTGAATGCTAATTTCATGGCATCAGGAAATTTATAGTACAATAGATCTGAGCTATATTTACTTAAACATATCAGAAACTGATCTGAACTCACATCACTATAAAGAAGATGAAGATGAAAATTCCACCAGGCATGACAGCCAATCTTTGAAATAGGATTGGCAATCTGTCTCTGCATTGGAGAGGGCACCAAGAGGCGTGACAGTAATCTGGAATAGAATCATGAAAACCATGTCAATTCTTGACAGCCTTTTTCAACCAATTACATTAAATTTCAATTGGAAAATACGCACATATCCTTCCTGAAGAGCTTGATGATCTGTATCTCCATCATCATACTGTTGCCCCTTTATCTAGAAAAGGATTATAGAAACAGACTTTTAGAATTCAGATGAAGAGTAATCATATTTTTATAAAAACCGTATCCTTCTAGTTAGATGTTTAATTAGAGACTAGTAGTTTTTCAACTTATTCAAAACTATTTGGCATCCAATAATGTCCAGGAATTATTTATATGCAAAAAACAAATTATTCAGAAAAAAAGGAGGAAACAGAATTTTGTGATGTAGGAAGTTCCTGGAGCCTGGGTCAGCTTCAGTTCAAGACATTAGGTCAAATTTATATGATAACCATACCTGATGCAATGCAGGGTTTGTGGTTTCTAACCTATGAAGATAAATGTGAAAATTTTTTATACCTTCTTCAGCAAGTTCCAGATTATTGGCCACTATATTTTCTTGGGAAATATATAGTCTGTACTCCTATTTTTTTGGTAATACAATAGAAACTGCATTGAAGAAGAAAAAAGAGAGCATATAAGAAAGGTGATCACAAATCCTCAAAACCTCACCCAGAAAAGAAAACAACCCTTCAACGTTGACACAAACCCAACTAAACTTCACCAGAAACTATACTTGATAATCCAGCAATTTCAAAATCTTGCAAATAACCCTCTTTACTTTTCTTAAAGACTTTCTTAACTTTCTTCACCTTTTTGATAGGTCCAACCCCAAACAAACCTTTCGGTCTGGTAAAAACACTTTCAACAACAGTTACTTTTCTGACTTCCAAAACATCTAACAACATTCAGAAGCTGACCAGAAATCTCCGACTCCTTACAACTAGGCTACTAGCATTAATTCTCTCTAATTCCAGGAATAAGTTCTTCTTAAAAGTCTGATCTGCATCTGACACCCCACCCTTAGAACCAGGATCCCCACCTCCAAATAAAGAAGTCACTCTGCCACCAACCATTTTCTGAGCTTCAATTAAAACTACTCGCACTGGATTCAAGATCAGGATCAGCTTTTTCCTTCCCTTATAAAGCATAACATACTTTTCCTCCAACTCTATAAATGTTTTCCTTGCAAATTCCTCCCCCACACCCCAAGGAAAAATAAATCCAACACTTTGCTTACTGTTGAGCAAGAGCAAGTGAAGAGAGGAGAGGAGAGGAGAGAAGAGAGGTGAGTCGAGTGACTGAAAGCCCTCCAGAACATAGGGGGCGAAAGAATGATTTTATTATTTATACTAGTACACTCGAACAATATAAACAGAGGAGAAATTACAACAGTACCCTTATGGTACTAAACCTGAATACATAAACAACTGTCAACACTCCCCCTCAAGTTGGAGCATAGATATCAATCATGCCCAACTTGTCACAAAGATCATG